CAGTTCTCATTTTTCACCCCTGATATCATTGGACACTTCCTCTTTCATCACTTACTCAAGATTTTTTTACTACAATTCATTCCAGTCTTGCACCAGGTCAGAACGACACGCCATGTTTGGGGGAAGATGTGTGTGACATCACACATACCCCTTTCACACCAACGCAACTCCGGTTCAAGCTCCGTGCTAGAGCTTTTCAGGTTCAGAACCGGTACTTCGGTTTAGCTCCGGCTCTTTTCACACCGCTCAGAGCCCGACTGGTGCTGCCGCTGCTGCGTCATGACGTCACAGTTTACGTCGCTGATTTTCTCCCCAACGGAGCTCACCTCACAACAACAACGGGCCGGGGACTGCGTTGCTTTTAATCATACGAAGCCAGATTAAATTAAATAACGACTTCTCCAACCTTATACTTTTCTCCAGAGTGCCGTGGTTCATTGTTTATTAATGTGTTTCAGCGGCATTTACCGACCGCTGCAGTGCTGCTGCTCTTCCACGAGTGTATTCTCCCGTTAGCTCCGGGTTAGCTCACACGGCTCTAAAGTATTCACTGTCTGACTGTCACACAAGCAGCTGATACATATCCCCAGTTCCCTTTAAGTGAATGTGTGTCAGTCTGAATTGACGCTGTTTGGCATCACAACGCTGTTATGAAAGTTTCTCTGGTATAACATGGGTGATGTTAGCATAGCAACCGAAGCTAAACTGACTACTTGCTAAGCCGTTTTCTCCAGGCACTTTTTACCGACGTATTTTTCATTATGATTCTACTTGTGATAGTCGGACATGACAACCTGTGCAGCCCATGTATTGATTCCATCCGATAGCTGCTATAATAACAAACAAAACGTCTGCCTGCTCTCCACAATGATCAATAACAGCGAACGGATGGTCAAAGTAAGGTACAAATAAACAGAATCACACGAAGCCTGGTTAGTGTTGCCTGACTTTATAAAGTGTATTTTTTTTTAACAAGTGTGTGGTTGCGTTCTAGTCAATTTGCTCAGCACTACTGCTTGTTACAACTTTTATTTGCCGTACTCGCCTTAACTGTTAGCTCAGGTTAATCTCGCCCCCCTCCGACGTAAGCGTGACGTATGCGGTTCTTGCTTCTAGACGGACAACTTTTTGGTGCTCGAAACGAACAGGATTCCGGAGCTTAGAGGCTGCTCCGCTGCGGTGTGAACAGGAAAACCCGGTGCTTTTCAAGCACCAGCACCGAACCGGCCCCGAAACACCGTTGGTGTGAATGGGGTATGATACCCCATACCACATACGCAGTGGCGACTGGTCATTAGGGGCAGGTGGGGCACAGCCCCACCTAGTGTCAGCAGAAAGTATTACAAATAATGATTACAAAAATGCAAAAAAAAAAAAAAAAAAAATATATAAAATATATTTTAAGATCATGTTTAATCATCTGATTCGTCTGTACATTGCTGTTTTAGTCTGTGTTCTTCTAATTAGTGTGTCTACAGTCACAGTGTGTGCCTATTGAGCTGTTTAGAGCCATGTGGGACAAAACCTGATTATGCCCTTTCCTCTCGCTGTGAAGTGAACGTGACTGTAAAAACTACACTGCGCATGCTCAGAGTATTTTGTAATGTAATGTGTGTGGCAACAAAATAATGACCAGAGGGGCACGGAGCTACCATCCCCACCATACGTCATCTCAAATCATTCAGAGCTGATTGGCTGTAAGTACGTGTGCCGCGAAAAGTGTGCTGTGTGAAGAGGAGACGAGAGAGCTGCAGTGGCGCGTCCTAAAACCAGGAAGTAAGCACAAAAAAGCAATGAGATTTCTCCAGAGGATTTTAGAAAATAGCTCAAAATAAGATCTGTGGGAAACGTACCGGTTAGATAAATGCACGTTTTGATTAGCCGGATAACATCCACATGTCTACCCTACTTTTATAATTTTTTTATCATAAATCTATGGATTAGATTTATGATAGACTTTTGAAACTACAAGAAGATAAGGAGGACTTTTACAAAAAAGTAATAGAAATGTTTGTCCAGAAGGATAGGAAAATGGACTTCATCTTCAAGTCAAGGTAAGACCGCCATTTTATTGAAAATGGGATCTTACTAAGAGAGAACAATTCAATATTTAAATGATAAAATTACATTTTTTGGGTATCCTTTTGTTGAACTGTCTGTTTAAAATTAATCGAAGCATCAGACAAAAAAAGCTTTTGAAAATAATATTATATTTTGGTTTAGGTCAAAATATAATATTTGTAAACCTGAAGAGTCAGTGCCAGTGCCTCACCAGCCATGAACCTCACTGCACGTCACTGCAGAAGCTTATATATAGACATCTAAGTTTTTTGTGCCCCACCACTTTTGTACATATAAAAACGCCACTGCGCATACGTCACGCTTACGTCGAACCGGCCCCGAAACACCGTTGGTGTGAATGGGGTATGATACCCCATACCGCATACGTCACGCTTACGTCGAACCGGCCCCGAAACACCGTTGGTGTGAATGGGGTACCCATTCAATACCATTCAATACCATTCAGTACCCATTCAACCCAATGGGGTACCCATTCACACCAACGGTGTTTCGGGGCCGGTTCGGTGCTGGTGCTTGAAAAGCACCGGGTTTTCCTGTTCACACCGCAGCGGAGCAGCCTCTAAGCTCCGGAATCCGGTTCGTTTCGAGCACCAAAAAGTTGTCCGTCTAGAAGCAAGAACCGCATACGTCACGCTTACGTCGGAGGGGGGCGAGATTAACCTGAGCTAACAGTTAAGGCGAGTACCGCAAATAAAAGTTGTAACAAGCAGTAGTGCTGAGCAAAGTGACTAGAACGCAACCACACACTTGTAAAAAAAAAACACGCTTTATAAAGTCAGGCAACACTAACCAGGCTTCGTGTGATTCTGTTTATTTGTACCTTACTTTGACCATCCGTTTGCTGTTATTGGTCATTGTGGAGAGCAGGCAGACGTTTTGTTTGTTATTATAGCAGCTATCGGATGGAATCAATACATGGGCTGCACAGGTTGTCATGTCCGACTATCACAAGTAGAATCATAATGAAAAATACGTCGGTAAAAAGTGCCTGTAGAAAACGGCTTAGCAAGTAGTCAGTTTAGCTTCGGTTGCTATGCTAACATCACCCATGTTATACCAGAGAAACTTTCATAACAGCGTTGTGATGCCAAACAGCGTCAATTCAGACTGACACCAAACAGCGTCAATTCAGACTGACAAACATTCACTTAAGGGGAACTGGGGATATGTATCAGCTGCTTGTGTGACAGTCAGACAGTGAATACTTTAGAGCCGTGTGAGCTAACCCGGAGCTAACGGGAGAATACACTCGTGGAAGAGCAGCCGGCCAGCACTGCAGCGGTCGGTAAATGCCGCTGAAACACATTAATAAACAATGAACCACGGCACTCTGGAGAAAAGTATAAGGTTGGAGAAGTCGTTATTTAATTTAATCTGGCTTCGTATGATTAAAAGCAACGCAGTCCCCGGCCCGTTGTTGTTGTGAGGTGAGCTCCGTTGGGGAGAAAATCAGCGACGTAAACTGTGACGTCATGACGCAGCAGCGGCAGCACCAGTCGGTCTCTGAGCGGTGTGAAAAGAGCCGGAGCTAAACCGAAGTACCGGTTCCGAACCTGAAAAGCTCTAGCACGGAGCTTGAACCGGAGTTGCGTTGGTGTGAAAGGGGTATTAAGGGAACTTTAGGATTTTAGCCTTTGCAGACCATTGACATGCACATACACCAATATAAACACAGTACAGGAAATGGGAAACACCAAAACGCATAATAGAGCCTCTTTAAACTACATTTAAAGTAAAGTTCTAAAGTTGTTTTTCTTGGTTGACATGTTCAAGTTTTGAAAAAGCAAAAGCAGAGTTAGCAACGAAGATAAAGACCTACAAAACAAATCTCATGGAACTCTAGTTCTTCTTCATTCTGCACCTCACAACATCAGCGATGAAACAATTACGTTTTCTGTTTCTTTGTTTACCTCCTTCTAGATTAATCATCCACTGGAGAGGACATTAGCGTAACTGTCTAGAAATGAGAAGCTGCTTCTTTGTAAAAAGAACGCATGGTTTAAAATGTTTCTAAAAACGTTGATGTTAAATCTGTTTTTCACGAGTCAAACACATCAGCACCCTTTCATGCATGCAAAACACATCATAACTGGTACAAATGAGTGATAAAAGTCTTCTTTTAGAGCGAGGGAGTTTTTTCAGGGAACTGACAGAAATCTTAATGGCATGGCTTATTTTGTTTCACAGCATGTGGCCAGCCTGAGGCCTCACACAGTCCCCACGCACTGTTTGTTCCCATGGGGCACCACCCTTCATTTTGTTGCATTTTTACACTTCTGTTATCCAAAAGTGTGTATAGGATGTCAGATTGCAAAACTCAGATTGGAATGGAAAAAAAAGAACATTTTGAAAACTGTAACCGAATAAGAAAGACTCTTGATGATAAGTGACTGTGGGTAGGGGTAGAAAGTTAAGCATTGTATCACCAAGCTAACTGAAAAGTGGGCAAAATAAATAAGTACTTGTTGTTGTGGTCTAGTTGCATTGTGGGTAGTGTGTAGGCAACAGCATTTTACATGGTAGAATTTGAATAATGCGTGGAATAAGAACAATTATTTGTGATTCTGCTAAATTAATTAAGATATATATTTTGTATTATTAAAGCTGCATGAAATTGTATTGTTTAGGTCTTTTGAGACAACACACAACACCTGAAATATTATCATGACTGCATTACAAATGGCTAATTTACCTTTCACATTTTCAAAATGTTTTATTCACACACAATAACAATATGTAGGTTTTTGTCCCTTCCGTGATCCCAAAGCTTTTGTTGACCCACTCTTTTAGTTAACATTCCAACCGTTAGTTTGACCCGAGTTTACTAAATGCTAAACCTGTGCACGACCATTTTGCTTTTACTCTTTCTGACGTCTCAGTCCTGAATATCCCCTGGCTTTTTTTTTCTCTCCCTGTAGGCACCAGTCTACTTCAGGAGATTGTGTATCTTGTGAGTCAGGGAGCAGACCCAGATGAGATTGGCCTTATGAACATCGATGAACAGCTTCCTGTCTTGGAGTACCCCCAACCTGGCCTGGACATTATACAGGTAATGTAGTCGAAAACAGGATAGCATTCATAATTAGACTTTGGCTTTTTTGGGGTATGCCTTTTGCCGGGTGTAGGAGTATACAACAAAGATATGAAAAAGAGAAGATTCTGGTCTTAATAACTCCAGCACAATCAAAACAAGGCTAATCTTGCTTGCAATCACAAGGCTGGTCTGTCCAGACAGCAAGGCTAACACGCCCTGGTTCATTTATATATATTGTCTTCTGAAAAGCTAGTGTTAATCCACAAGTTCTCCATCTCACATCAATTGTCTTCAAACTCTTTACCAACCATCAGCCATTGCCCAGGATTTTATGTTTCATTGGAATGAAAAGCTGTTAACATGTAAACACATCCAACTAATCACAACCCCAATTGTTTACAACACTGATACTATATGATCTTATCAGCAACATGTCTTTCAAAGGAATACATTCCTCAACCTGTTTCAGAGGGAAGCAATTGGCCCAATACTTAAATAATATCAACATCACTTACTGAACAGAGACAGTGATAGCATCGTGGCTAGCTAGAACTTCAACATTGACTGCTACTATATAAGACAATGTATGACATTTTCCAAGAAACAGAGCTTGGGATCTGACCTTTTGAGCCAATAAGACTGGATAAAAGAATACAGATTAAAGCAATACCTTTCTTTGTGTCTCCACAGGAGCTGACCTCTCCTCGTCTGATTAAAAGCCATCTTCCCTATCGGTTCCTCCCCACAGCCATGCACAACGGAGAGGCCAAGGTCAGTCCTCCGATAATGGACCGCAAATATGCAATAATAAATTTTTCACTGCATTTATTTAGAAGTTTTTAGATTTGGGAGCTTCACATGAGTTCAGGACCCGGTACTATACATGAAGATTAGGGGAGAAAAAGTTAACAAAACATTGAAATCAGAAAGCTTTATTTGTTCGATACCCTAAGTCAGAGAGTGTTGTATTTTCCAAAAACATTAGTAACCAATACTACATGTTGGTGTCATATGGTTTCATAAATATACAATTCAAGTAAGAAAAGTTGGACAGTTATACGTTTGAGTGTATAATACAATATAAAGTAATTTAATATCCCAGAGTAAAATCTATTATTAAAATAATTGCAAATAAATAATAAAATAGATCAAAAATAAAAGTATAACCCAATGTTGTTATCATTGTTTGTACTATCAAATAAAAAGGCAAAAATAATAATTAAAAAAATGAAATACATAAATACAATATTGTGTATATGTATAAAATACAAATATTTTACACTTTCTGTTTCTGGAAAATAATTACAATAATTAACCAGGATAATATGAAAAACAATTACATTTTTTACTCAATCAAAAGGTTAAAGAATACATATATTTAAATCTAGTCTCTCATGTGCAGTCTTCCAAAGATGACAATCCATCAGCTCCAATAACCACATTTTATTGGACTGTTCTCCAACCTCAGCATTACCTGGGACTGATATCTTGTATCTGACTGTAGTGAGTACCGTGGTTCTTCTCTTCCAGGTGATCTACATGGCTCGTAACCCTAAGGACCTGGTGGTGTCCTACTACCAGTTCCACCGCAGCCTCAGGACCATGAGCTACCGGGGAACCTTCCAGGAGTTCTGCCGCCGCTTCATGCATGACAAGCGTGAGTATGCAGGGTTCTAGAGGACTGAACCATCTCAGTGATTTCCTTTAGTGTTTGTCTACGGAGTTTATCCATCTGTATATGTGTCTCTCCGTTTCTCACAGTGGGATACGGTTCCTGGTTTGATCACGTTCAGGAATTTTGGGAACATCGCATGGACTCCAATGTCCTCTTCTTAAAGTATGAAGACATGTACAAGGTAACATCCTCATTCTTGTTTTGGGGTTTGTCTGTGAGCTCTTATTTTGACATTATTTAACTTAAAGTCATTACCCTGTCAATCTCAAAACCGGCTTTTGGTCTGGGGACAATAAGACTGTGTGCAAGGGGGCAATATTTTGGGGTATCAGGTCTAGCTAACGGCTGTCCGGACCAAGAGTTGTTTTTTATGTCTGTTGGTCTTTTGTTTACAACATGATTGGTCAATACTTGAAATATACGGTCGATGGTCAATACTACTCGGACTGCAAATTGAAATCGATACCAACATCTTGTCTTGATGCTAATAATAGAGACCATCAGTATTGTGGCCTTTGTAAGGATTTGATTCCACTGAATGTAAAGAGTAATTAATATAGAAAGTGGGTCAGTAAACAATTGGAGTGGAGCTGCTGTACTGTGCAGCTCTTGTGGGGGAAGTTACATTTAACCTATATTTAGACATTAAAGGGACTTACCGAACATGCATGCTCTTTGGCAGAGAGATAAACAGAGAATAAAATACCCTACAGTATGAAAAACAAATGGCAAGCTTTAGCCCTATATGCAAAATCCTATATTCGTCAAAATCCTGTCACTGTTTAATCTGAGTTGTATTAAAAATATTAAACCCATCAAAAAAAACTACGTGTTTGTGGAAAACACTCAAACCTGGTATCTCTTATTTATCTCACAATCTGTACAATGTAAAGAACATTTATATTTTTCATTATCATACCAGAATCAACAATTTTTTTTACCCAATTCAAACCCTGTCCAGATCATTTTTCAAGAACCTTACTTATTTTCACACAACATGGCAGACACTATCTATCTTTGTAGGGACACGTTCTTGTGTTAAACTCAAAGAAAAGTAACAAACTACGCCAAATCAATATTTGCCCTTTGCTTTACCAAAGGTCCCTTTGTACATTATCTGGGTTATCACTTTTACGAAGGAACAGACTCAAACATGTCCTTTGTTTTGCAGATAGGCTTTAGATTGATAAGAACTGAAAGCAGAATGCAAGTGATTTAAAACTGCTTTTAGGGTAATAACTTAAATTCCTAACCTCAGCCATCTTTTGGTAGTTTTGTAAATTGAGTTTCCACATAGTCTTTCATGACAACTCATTATATAGAGAAGGAAAGTGTACCATAACTTGTGAAACCGCTTCAGTGACCTCTGAACCTGCCTTGAACAAACACATGAATGTGCAGGCCTATACAACCCAGGGCTGTAAAGTAATCATATAGATTAGGTTCAACCGTGACTCGATGACGTATTGTCCTTACAGAGCAGTACATTTTGTCCTTTTGGCTCATCTACAGTCTGTGTTCCTCACCTTTATGCTACATAGATTGTGTATGCTTAGAGGAACTGTGTGTTCTCCACAGTTGTGGGATGGAGGTTATTTGAGGAAACAGAATCACTGCCTTGGTGTTATTTGAGAATTTAAGACAGAGGCCGTTTCCCTTTTTCCCCTTTACTTAAGTAACACAAAGGATGGCCATTCAAATATACTTAAAGCACCAAAAGTGAAAGTACTGGTTATGGCGTATATCAGAATGATTTATTTAAAAAAGGACTGTATTATGATTATTGACACATGAATCTGTCTATCACAGATAGGAGAAGCTGATTCTAAAGAATTTATAAACTGCTGCTGGATATCTTAACCTACCTAAATAATAATAAATCATAGTTTATTGTAGTAACTAAGAATCTGATAAAGTAACTAAAGCTGTCAGATACATTTTGTAGAGTAATTGCAATTTTAGCTTCCAAAGTTTAGTGAAATAGAAGTATAAAATAGCAGAAAAAAATTGTACTTAAAAAGGTAGTACTTGAGTAAATGTACTTTATTAGATTTGGAACCACCAACCTCTCCTCTCATGTCCTAACCTCACCTCTCATGTCCTAACTTCTCTTCTCCTCTCCTCTCCTCTCATGTCCTAACCTCACCTCTCATGTCCTAACTTCTCTTCTCTTCTCTTCTCCTCTCTTCTCCTCTCCTCTCCTCTCCTCTCCTCTCCTCTCCTCTCCTCTCCTCTCCTCTCCTCTCCTCTCATGTCCTAACCTCTCCTCTCCTCTCCTCTCCTCTCCTCTCCTCTCCTCTCCTCTCCTCTCCTCTCATGTCCTAACCTCTCCTCTCCTCTCCTCTCCTCTCCTCTCCTCTCCAGGATCTGGGCACGCTGGTGCAACAGTTAGCTCAGTTCCTGGGTGTTTCCTGTGACAAGGCTCAGCTGGAGGGCATGGTGGAGAGCTGCAACCAGCTCATCGAGCAGTGCAGCAACTCCGAGGCGTTGTCCATCTGCAGGGGTGAGTGGGAGAGGAAAACTGTTTGGATGTTCTGTCTCTGAGGTCTTGGTAAAAGGGCTTTTTATTTAGGCCTCAAAGGAGAAGCATTAGATCCACCAAATGTATCTTCAAACCATTTGTATTACACTTTCATTGCATCTGACATTCAGGTCCTTCAGTTTATGATATTACAGTTGTTGTCCCATAATCCATAAGGTTGCTGATAGAGTTGCGTTATCCGAATTTCACGTAAATCATCAATACTGCATTTTGCGATCAGATTTAGCCAGTTAGCTCGTTAGCTAATGCGAAAACAATTCCTACACACCACTGTCATGAGAAGTGAAATAATAAACTTGAACTACTGGGAAAAATGTTACTATGAAATGAAAAAGGACACTCAAATATCTATGATGAAATTAAAATAATATCCAACTAAATCCCAAACCATTCTTTATACATGTTGTGTTTAACCCTTGTGCCCTCCTCGGGCATCTTTGTACATTTTTCCTGACTTTTTTTTTTGATTTGGTGATCATTTCAGCTGTGTTACAGCTTTTGGCATGGATTTTTGCAAGAAGTCTTCTTTTGAGTCAAATTTTTGAAATCCAATGTCGTTTACTCTTACATGTTTTGTATACTCTCGTGATGCATTTTGCACCCTCTGGACCCCTTCGTGGCAAAAATGTACACGCTCATAAAAACTGCTATTAATTCATCATACATCAATATTTTATTAAACCTTTTTTTCCATGAATCACTTGAACAGCTTCTAACGTGCTCAAAACTACCAAACATTCAATAATTTTCAGGATTTTAACCCTTTAAATGCCTGTTTCATTATTTGAATTATTTAATTTCTCTTAAAAAAAAACACAAAAAATGAATTTCTTTCAATATAATAATTAGTAGAGGGATGGAACTTTGGTGGTTATTAGAGTCTGGGATGTGTCAAAGATTAGCAACAAAATTGATTTGACTGCATTATTAATTTTTACGTAGTGTCAGATACTACCTCTGGACACCTTCGTGGCAAAAATGTACACGCCCCAAACAACTTCTATTAAATCATCATACATCAATATCTTTTTCTACTTTTTTTTTCATGAATCACATATACAACTTCTAACGTACTCAAAACTACCAAACATTCAATCATTGGCAGGATTTTAACCCATTAAATGCCTGTTTCATTATTTTAATTATTTCATTTATCTCAAAAATGCCTCATTGACTTCCATTCAGACCACATTTGTTGATCTCACTGCCATTGCAGTATAAAACCATGCATTTTGTAATGTCAGCATTTCATTTAGAAGAAAAGTAGTGATATTTGATATTTCTACTCTATTCCACCAGATTAAACCATTTTCCCACTGTAGGCCGATGCATTACATTCTTACATTTTTGCCAGTTATATTATGGAGCCGTGTGACTACCAGGGGGCCCCGAGAGTGGTGTGTGTGTGTGTGTGTGTGTATGTATGTATATGTATGTGTGTGCGTGTGCGTGTGCGTGTGCGTATGTGTGTGTGTGTATATGTGCGTGTGTGTGTGTGTGTGTCATTTCCAGCAGCAGACTAGCAGGTCCTGCAGCATGTGACCTGGTGCTCTCAGGTGATAGAACAACCATTTTTTAGGCCTGTGCACAACCAGCACACACCTCTCCTCCCTCTCCGTGTGTGTGTGTGTGTGTGTGTGTGTGAGAATCTGTAAGCATGCACAGATCATTTCATGGGAACAAAAGGCCATCTTTTGAGGGATGTGTTTGATGTGTCTTTGAAGAGCTGCTTGATTACTCAAAAACAAAAAACAACTGTTAGTGTGTTTATGCACCTGGCTGCCAAAGATAAACATGCAGTTTGACCAAGGGCTTATTTCATTAGTGAGCAGAGAAGGAGAAAGACCTGGAGCAAAGAGAAGGAACTCAAATGAAGAAGCTTTTCAGTGCAGAAGAGACTTCAGAAATAATCTTGCAGCCTTCTTCTGCCAGCGAGCTGCAGGACTCATCTGAAGAAGACACAAGGTTCGAGCTGGGGTCTGACACTGAATGCTCTCTGGAGTCCAGCATTTCTTTGAGTTCCTCTGACCCTTCATCTGAAAGTGGAGAGGACACTGAGGGTCCGGCCCACCATCCACCACCACGGGGGGCTTTCTTCTCACAATCTGTGAGGACACCCTGGTTTTCCCCAGCTCCTGGGAGAACGACCTCCGTTCTTCTCTGTCCCCTCACTGTGGGCCGGACCCTCAGTGTCCTCTCCACTTTCAGATGAAGGGTCAGAGGAACTCAAAGAAATGCTGGACTCCAGAGAGCATTCAGTGTCAGACCCCCCTCGAACCTTGTGTCTTCTTCAGATGAGTCCTGCAGCTCGCTGGCAGAAGAAGGCTGCAAGATTATTTCTGAAGTCTCTTCTGCACTGAAAAGCTTCTTCATTTGAGTTCCTTCTCTTTGCTCCAGGTCTTTCTCCTTCTCTGCTCACTAATGAAATAAGCCCTTGGTCAAACTGCATGTTTATCTTTGGCAGCCAGGTGCATAAACACACTAAAAGTTGTTTTTGAGTAATCAAGCAGCTCTTCAAAGACACATCAAACACATCCCTCAAAAGATGGCCTTTTGTTCCCATGAAATGATCTGTGCATGCTTACAGATTCTCACACACACACACACACACGGAGAGGGAGGAGAGGTGTGTGCTGGTTGTGCACAGGCCTAAAAAAATGTTGTTCTATCACCTGAGAGCACCAGGTCACATGCTGCAGGACCTGCTAGTCTGCTGCTGGAAATGACACACACACACACACGCACATATACACACACACACACACACACACACACACGCACACGCACACGCACACGCACACGCACACGCACACGCACACACATACATATACATACACACACACACCACTCTCGGGGCCCCCTGGTAGTCACACGGCTCCATAATATAACTGGCAAAAATGTAAGAATGTAATGCATCGGCCTACAGTGGGAAAATGGTGGAATCTGTTGGAATAGAGTAGAAATATCAAATATCACTACTTTTCTTCTAAATGAAATGCTGACATTACAAAATGCATGGTTTTATACTGCATTGGCAGTGAGATCAACAAATGTGGTCTGAATGGAAGTCAATGAGGCATTTTTGAGATAAATGAAATAATGAAAATAATGAAACAGGCGTTTAAAGGGTTAAAATCGAAACCGAAAATGGTAGTTTTGAGTACGTTAGAAGTTGTTTATGTGATTCATGAAAAAGAAGTTGAAAAAAATATTGATGTATGATGATTTAATAGAAGTTATTATGGGCGTGTACATTTTTGCCACGAAGGTGTCCAGAGGTAGTATCTGATACTACGTAAAAAATAATAATGCAGTCAAATCAATTTTGTTGCTAATCTTTGACACATCCAAGACTCTAATAACCACCAAAGTTCCATCCCTCTACTAATTATTATATTGAAAGAAATTCATTTTTTGTGTTTTTTTGTAATAAAAAATGAAATAATTCAAATGATTAAACAGGCATTTAAAGGGTTAAAATCCTGCCAATGATTGAATGTTTGGTAGTTTTGAATACGTTAGAAGTTGTATATGTGATTCATGAAAAAAAAAGTAGAAAAAAATATTGATGTATGATGATTTAATAGCAGTTATTATGGGCGTGTACATTTTTGCCACGAAGGTGTCCAGAGGTAGTATCTGATACTACGTAAAAAATAATAATGCAGTCAAATCAATTTTGTTGCTAATCTTTGACACATCCCAGACTCTAATAACCACCAAAGTTCCATCCCTCTACTAATTATTATATTGAAAGAAATTCATTTTTTGTGTTTTTTTGTCATAAATAATGAAATAATTCAAATAATTAAACAGGCATTTAAAGGGTTAAAATCCAGAAAATTATTGAATGTTTGGTAGTTTTGAGTACGTTATAAGTTGTTTAAGTGATTCATGAAAAAGTAGAAAGAAATGTTGATGTATGATGATTTAATAGCAGTTATTATGGGCGTGTACATTTTTGCCACGAAGGGGTCGAAAGATTGAAAATTCGAGGAGGGCACAAGGGTTAAGTCCTTTTTATAACGTATTGAATATTGAACATAATTATCTAAGTAGGTCATGGGATCTTCAAGTTGTGTACATTGATACAAGGGCTTTCTTATGCTCAGTTGAGATGATTATAGCATCACCTTGTGGACACAGTGTGCACTTACACCACATATTGCAATTCAGCTTTAGACTGTAATGTAATTTCAACCTGTAGGTCCAATCCACTTTCATTTAACCATCTTTGACTTCCATGAAGGCATCTTTATGTTTGTTCCCTAATTTTCATAAATAGTCATTTTATTTTATGTTACCATTCCTATTTAGATTTTTGCTTATGATTTCTGTCATTTGTTGTTTTGTTTTATTTCAGTTTTCCCATCTAATTCCTTTTCTTTTAGTGCATGGAAATCTGGTGTCTGGTGTTCTGTAGGCTGAACACACAGCTGCCAGGTGTCAGTCTGATCTGTCACACACACACACACACCTCAGCAGGTGAGTCAGAGCCACGGCGGGCTGCGTTCACTCTGCAGCTGAAAGTGTCTGATGAATCATCAGAAATCACGTGGGTTTTGCATAATTCATCATGAAGAATCATGTCCCCATAACTTCTGAGGATGGCTTCAGGAAGACTGTGCTGGTAATGAAGCAAAACTAAAAGCCCTGCCCCCTTATTTTGATTTACTTATGGCAATGGAACAGGAAATTAGGAATGGACTCAATCCATCCACTGAATGTTGAAAGTAGTTAAAATACAACTCATTATATATAATATGTCATAGGTCATCTAAAACGCATCTAGATTTGCTTTAAATTGAAGGGCTTTGCCAAAATGTTTATTTAAGTGCATCAACGGTTAAGAAGAAGTATTGGTGGAAACTTAGTTCAGTCAGACAACTCACACATGTTTCTTAATATGTTTATTATAAGCAGCATTAGGGGTGCGCAAAAAAATCGATTCGCTTAAGAATTGCGATTCTATCTCTGCCGATTCAGAATCGATTCAGAAATTCCAAGAATCGATTCAAATGTTTCAGTCTTGCCGCAACGCAGCTTTCCATTTTTTCTACGGCGTGAGCTCCGTAATGTCCCGCTACCACAGGTATTAGTATTAAGGGCATCTAGGAAGGTTATTCTTCCATTAAGGGCTATATCGAATAGTTTGAGCTTCATTCATAAAGTTGATATTAACATTTAAAAAAAACATTTGAATGCCCCATGAACGCCCCACGTCTTACTAATATATAAACCTCTGTCCTCTCTCTGTGTCTCCTGCCTGCAGGTCGTGCAGGTCTGTGGAAAGACGTATTCACAGTGTCTATGAATGAGAAGTTTGACACGGTGTACAGACAGAAGATGGGCAAGTCCGACCTGACCTTTGACTTCTGCATGTGAGCAGCACCTGACCCTCCACCCCACTGATCTACTCCAGTGCAATCGACCAAACCCACGATCCTATATCTCCGTAAAGTGAGAGATTTAAGGGTACAGTGTGACAGCAGGATTACATTACAAGACTTTTCCCTTAATGCAATCTGTCTCAGTGAGTAAGTCTCGAAAAATCACACCCTTGTGGACTGGTCAAAAGAACTTAGTTGACATTTCTCCATCAATAGTTAAACCAAACCTCCCTCAACCCCTACCTCCTGTGTATATGTGTACATATTAACCAGGGTTCGACCGATATAGGTTTTTGAAGGCAGATGCCAATACTTTCAACCTCAAGTATTGGTCAACATTTCTATTCAAATTCTCCAACATAGTTCATAAAAGGAATTCAAGCTACATGCAGATATTTGTGACTGAATTACATGGAAACGGCAATATGCCAGTACTGCCATTCAATGTTCTCGTGCAATGCTAGTCTTGCTGTGATAGTTATCTATTTTTCACCAGTCCATAAAGAACTGGGTACGCTAAAAAAAAAAAAAAGGGATTTGTTTCCCACTTACATATAAAAGGTAAAAGTATTTGCAACTTTGAAAGGCAGGAAAAAGTGTCTGGTTTCATAGGGAGATACGAAAGTGGTTCAAATGGGGATAAAGACCTCAGTTAGTCTGTAAGAACACCAGCATGTAGACGGAAACCAATTTGATTATTGTGCTGATCAGAAGGACATCATCACGTATTTTGCGTAAGTGCTAAGGGTCTGCTACTCGTTGGGGAATTACGTTGTGAAATTCTTATTTTTTGTAAATAGGAGGCATGCAGGTCTATGAATTCAACTACACTTTAAAGCAAATAATTATAATTAAATAGTAAAATGATGAATTCATGTAAACATGTCTAAGAATTTCTTTTAAATGGCAATTTTTTCAATGTTTTAAAAGCAGTAGATCAACATTCCAGATTTCCAGAATACTGGAACAAACAACTCGTGAGCCTTAACAACTTTATGAGTTTATGTAGCTTGCGTGCCATCAGTGGAGGGCTTTAGGCTGCCCTAGTTCACCCTCTGGAGACAACAATAGAGGTCTGACTGCCTGTTAGAGAACAGACATCATTTGGACTACTTATTTGCAATGTTGATCAGCCACAAATATCTATAGGTAGACTCAGGGATTCTCTCCGATGTTTCTGGTTGTCATGTGGACAAACCCTCTGAAATATTTACATCATCTTGAGACAGTAAACCCCTCCAAAGGCTAATGAAACCATTGTATTAGAGCTCAGCTGCTTTATAGGTCAGGCCACACATAAACACCTATTCATTGGTGAGGAAACCAGAATACAATACTTGTAAGTATGGAACTAACACCCACAATGGCTGAATATGACCTATCTACGGCCACCAGGTACAAATATGGTGAACATATTTTGACTTTAATCAACGGCAGACAACAGACAACACTTTAATCTGTTAATCCCACATATCAGTCTAACCCTGAAACTGAGTGCATTAGCAGTTTTCTTGATGCAAAAGTTGCTCCAAGTCAGGTAGAAGAATGGAAGGTAACTGTAAGAAATGAAGCCAAACATATAAAAAAGAAGCCTATCACGCCTAGCAATCGGTTCAGCAGCTCAGTGTCACACAGCTGGGAGATTTTTGTGTTAGATGATCCATGTTTTTTTCCCCCTCAAAAGTGCTGGAGGGTTTTTCAGCCTTCATTGTCAGTTATTTCTGAACTTTACGTGTGTATGGATGATTGCGAGTGTGTGTCAGAGAGTTCAGTCATGTCAGTGCTCAGTTAAGCTCAGCTATTTATGCTGATTTAGATGTTGAATTCAAGGATTCGTCTGATCTTTAAAACCAAGTTATGTAGCATTGGCGCCTCTCAGTGGTTGATAAAAAATACAATGGTAGGATATACCACTGAATTTAATGGGCTGAAAGCAAGAAAGAATTCACAAATGGGAATATAATTTTTTCTAAAACAAAAGATTATGAATAATAAGATTGCCTAATCGAGTTACATACAAGTTATACAATGAATGTCTTAAGTCGAACACTTCACTCTTCAATACTTTGCTGGTGATTTAAACTGCCATTTTGGGTACAAACATGATTCTTTTCAAATACAAACTGTTGCACGTTTTTCCCTTAAGATCATGAACGGTGGTTCAGATGAGCAGTTGCTGCCTGGTTGGAGATGCAGCTGTGCCAAACACGGAAAATAATATTTAGCCTAATGTCTCCAAGGTATAAAGACATGTTTTACACCCTCACCTTAATATTTAAGGTCAGTGTGGATGGATTCTAAAAAATGATTTGTTTCTTTTTTTATTTAATTTGTTTGCACAGTATAAAAAAATACATATCCAGAGAGTCTTAGAACTACGTATACCCACATACATGAACGAAGAAGTAAAGGAAAGCCTGTGAAGGAACGATAGAAAGCTGAACATAAAACTCAAGGCAACATAAGCAGGATAACATTCAATAAACTAGAAGTGTACTTGGAGAGCGCAGACCTCCGGCAAGGTCGTTTCTGCACCATGATTCAGATCTATTTATGAAAATGTAATCTGAATGTTTTCCCAACTGACAACCAGACAAACAAACCAACAATAAACATAACCTCCTTGGCTGAGGTACCACTATTTTAATATACCTTGGTTTACATTAAACATCTCACACCACCTCCAAAGGAAGCCTGGCAGATCAATGTCAGTACATCTTTTGGGCATCAGATATGATACACCCAACACTCATAAAGTGAATAACTAATATTGTTTATTTGGGGCTGTGGAAAGTTTGGTAATCGGAAAATCCTATTCCTGTGTGAACTATGCTACATACTGTATCCCACTGAGGGGTTGAATAGTGTCCTCTTTCTCTCTGTTTTCACAAATGTCAGGTTTTGGTTGCAGGAGAGAAGAGCAGAGTATTAGCCCATAACCAGCATTACACTATGTTTTGTATTCTGCAACTTGACAGCATCAATATCAGACTCTTTAACCCGAGGCATCACTTAAAACCAGTCCATCTCCTTTTCCCCAGTCCCTGCGCTCTACCGGACACTTGTGAATGTCTTTATTGTGTTGGTGTAAACGACAACCTCAGCACACACTCGTCACGCCGCCTCATTTACGGCTGCTCATTCTTTCCCTTTCATTGTTCTTCCTTCTACTCTGTCACTGTTTACAGCCGTTGGCAAGGCTTCAGCTGCCCATCTCCACTTTAATGGTTTGTTTGGGATTTTATACATGCCTTTCTCTGTTTCCTGGGCGTTGTATTTTACATTCTTTGCTTGCTGTTTTATTAATAAAGTTGTGTCTTCAGGCAATACTGGATGACTCTGGTCTCCTTTCTTTATCTCTTTAGTGTCTACATTCTTGTTCTCAACATCTGTCTGACCCAAAAATGTGTTGTTGAAGTGAGAAATACAAAGATTAAGAGTGAATGGAATATAGATTGTTACTTTACAGGACTATAGGATTATATTATATAACAAACCCAGGGGGTGTGCTGCTACAGCCTGTGTCTGGTAAACAATAACCTACTGTATGTTGGCTAATTTTAGCTTATGTTAGCAAACTTGCAAATATACGTTAGCACAAGCCATGCATTCAAAAACAGATATGGCCACATTGGGGCATCAGAATCGTATTGAGATATCAGCACTGTATTTGCTATATAAACTCCCCTTAGCAAACAAAACATTTACATTGAGGTCATGCTTGTGTCCACCGGAATAATGCAAGTAGAATATAAACTGTCTTTTATCTCTCTGTGTTTTTATCTACTAAATAATCCACAATGTTTATCTGTTTTAAGTTATTAACTTACTGTTTATGTTATTTAGTGCAGAGCAGTACAGTGGCCTTAACGCAGCGTCCACACGGCGGCATGGGTTGAAGCTTCAATGCTTCTGCCCATTCACTTTGAATGGGGTGACGTCACGCTTTGCCGGACTGCATTGTGGGAGCGTTGCTTCGCTTTGCTCGCGTTGCTCGCTTCAAAAGTTGAGCAATGTTCAACTTTTGAAGCTTCGGCGGAAGCCAATCAAATCATATGCCAGTACAAGCTCTAGCCAATCAAACCGCGTGCTTGTGTGTCCAGGGCGGGAGATTCATGTGATTGGTTGTTGGTCGAGTTTCAGACAAGCTCACCGGCAAGCTTCAACGCACGCCGCCGTGTGGACGCTGCGAGAGGAAAGTGAACCAAACATTTGTTGGGAAGTGTAGGGTATTTTAGTTCTTAGGATTAGCTGAAAAGATTCCAGGAAGCTTATTTACAAGTTAACAGCGTTTAATAAAACAATGATACAATCAAATTGCAAAATGTCACAGCTGTGCTCTTCCGTCCACTGGCATGGGATGAGAAAAGAGCGCAACTTCCTGCTTGTGTCACATATTTATCATCTGAAGTCTTCTCCCATTGGCTTAGCGTCGACGGGGGCGGGTCCAAGGCACATCCTGCCTGTCGTCATTTCCTGTTGTTAGTTTTACAATCTTCTAATGTTTATTGGTCATTTAAACATTCCCTAATAATAGTATTGCAGCGTCAATAAGTGAGGGTTAAAGACGTTTAGTGTCATTCTCCTTATATTCACGTACACAAAATAATATTAGCTACATGCTAATGCTACAAACACCGTCTGAACAGACAGGAAGTCGAGTGTGTCGACAATGTCGTGAACATCCGGTTACAGAATAAAACAGTGTCATTAATTTAAAGTTATGCCACATATATTTTATTCCTTACAGAAGAAAAACCAAAACAATAAGCAATGTAGTGACTTTTTAACCTTATCTAAGCCACTGAGGGATGGGAACGGGAGAACTTTGTTCGGACGCGTGTTCCAGATGATAAAACAATGTCCATACGAGTGTATATCTTTCAATCCATCGATCCATTTATTTACCAAATCGATTGTATCCACATTGCTTCTTCTGTTACCATTCAGAGACCAATATATGCATGCCAGTCACGCTGAATACAAACAGGTTTAACACACAGCTCATATCGACACGGTCACAAACTGTTTGCTTCTGTCCCACACACCTGAATCTTATCACCCAGTGATTACATATACACACCATACATAGGGGGTGTTTCTCAATCGCGAGTAAAGCTGCTTCAGAGCCACTATATCAAGCATACTACGTCATCGAGTGCCGCCGAAGTACTGTTCCAATCTCCAGCATACTTGGAAATCTACCGAGCCCGGCGTACTCCGTTTGGAGAAATATCGAGGCTGCACATGAGTAGACTCCGCGGTCTTAAAATCCCCACAATGCTTTGCGCACGGACCAATTTCCCCAAATCTGTGGCGGAAGATGTAAGGCGGGGCCTCTCATATGACGCACACCTGCACACTTGCTCGCCTGTTCCACTCTTCGTTTTCCGAATGCCAGGAAGTATTCTTGACTCGCTTCTGAAGCAAGATGCTCGGCAGACATGTGCTACCAAGCAAGCATACTCGCGATTGAGAAACACCCAGAGTGTTTCTCAATCGCGAGTAAAGCTGCTTCAGAGCCACTATTTCAAGCATACTACGTCATCGAGTGCCGCCGAAGTACTGTTCCAATGTCCAGCATACTTGGAAATCTACCGAGCCCGGCGTACTCCGTTTGGAGAAATATCGAGGCTGCACATGAGTAGACTCCGCGGTCTTAAAATCCCCACAATGCTTTGCGCACGGACCAATTTCCCCAAATCTGTGGCGGAAGATGTAAGGCGGGGCCTCTCATATGACGCACACCTGAACACTTGCTAGCCTGTTCCACTCTTTGTTTTCCAAATGTCAGGAAGTATTCTTGACTCGCTTCTGAAACAAGATGCTCGGCAGACATGTGCTACCAAGCAAGCGTACTCGCGATTGAGAAACACCCATAGACTGTGATACACGGGCCGTTTCTCAATCGCGAGGATGCTGGCTTGGTAGCACAGCCGAGCCGAGCATCTTGCTTCAGAAGCAAGGCAAGAATACTTCCTGGCATTCGGAAAACAAAGAGTGGAACAGGCTAGCAAGTGTGCAGGTGTGCGTCATATGAGAGGCCCCGCCTTACATCTTCCGCCACAGATTTGGGGAAATTGGTCCATGCGTAAAGCATTGTGGGGATTTTAAGGACGCGAAGTCTACCCATGTGCAGCCTCGAAATTTCCCCCAAACCAAGGACGCGGCCTCGGTGGAATTCCAAGTATGCTGGAGATTGGAACAGTCCTTCGGCGGCACGCGAGGACGTAGCATCCTTGAAATATTGGCTTGGAAGAGTAGTATGAAGCTGCAGCCTCGGAGGAGGATGCACTCTCAGGACCGCATGCACTCTCAGGACCCTAGTTGTTTTGCAACATCGCCACCTAGCGGATTGGATGACCGCAAAAGTACAACCAGCGAGTATTGAGTCTCATACACTGCGAGTCTCTTTAGACATTGTAATGCTTGTTATTAACCATCTAAAAATGCATGAAAATATGTTTTTCTTACTGAAATTACATTATTATTAACAAGTTGTTAATATGTTTTTGATTTTTAATAACAAATGTATTTTGTATGTCAGATGTAAAAAGATAGTCTTTTATATTTGTCTTTATCAAATTTGACATACAACATAAATATATATATATATATATATATTGTAGTAATAATGATATAATCTATTTATAATTGTAAATGTATATTGTATGTAGACATACATTTAGATGTATATTTTGTTAAAAGAAAACTGTTAATTTAGTTTTTGGGAGAAGGGGTGGGGTTAAATAAGTGTAAACTCCTTTGAATCAATTTGATACTGCTTATGTTTCTACAGTATCATAATTCTCTTGTTTCATTTCATTATTATATATATATTTTTTATTGTATTACACGTTCGAAATAAATCAAATCAAATGTGTTTTTGAAGAGGTGCTAGATTACTCAAAAACAACTGTTAGTGTGTTTATGCACCAGGCTGCAAAAGATAAACATGCAATTTGACGAGAGGAATTTCAGTGCAGAATACATTTTTATTTATTGGGCACTGTGGATTCTTCACTGGGGTGAGGCGGGGTCTGCTGTTCCCTCAACCACCAGACAACAGCTCCAGCTGCAGTACCCCGGGAAGCCCTCTTCGGAGTAAAAACCCTGTAATGTTCCTCGCCGTCCACTTCCCCGGTAGCCTGTGCCAACGTCCTTATACAGGTTGTCGCAGTAAAAGCACCTGGAAATTTGGTAGGCCTTCCGAAATTCCTGTTTGTGTCCCTCTGAGAAGACATTCCAGTTGACGACACCTGAAGTAGAATGTCATAAGAAAATTACAATTCAGACAGAAAAACAACAAAACCTTCCTTAATTTAGCTGACCTTACTCTTAGTCAATCAACTTCATAATACTAGGATAGTAGCAATATTACAAAACATGTCAAAATGATGAGACTGTCTGATAAACAGTAAACAGGCAGTCAGCACAGTTAAGATTATTTACAATGAATTCAAATAGTAATACAATGACTATTAAAGAAGCATTTACACTGAAGACAGAACTTATATTAGGCTACTGCTGATTTAATGTAGCGGACAGACAGATCATATTGACATGCTTTTGTCATCCTTTGAAGTTTAATTAATTAGCTGACTATAATTAATGATCAGGGTTGGGAAGTTTACTTTTTTTAAATGTAGGTTACAGATGACTAATTACCCTGTTAAAAAATGTAATACGTAATGTAACTGACTATGTAACTATTTGTATTGATAATCTAATGTTAATTATGGTTCTTTTATGTTTTTTGTGAGTCACTTTGGATAAAAGCCTCTGCTAAATAACATAACCATAACATACGGTTTCATTAAACAAATAAACAAAAAGGCTAACAGTTGGTTTTGCAGCGAGTCATCATAGGCTAACAGATGACATTTAGCACGTGTTGCTTGTATTTAGGGATGGGTATCGTTAAGGTTTTAACGGTACTACTACTTTTATCGATACCGCTTATCGGTCCGGTCTTTTAACGGTACTCTTATCGGTTCTTTTGGAGAGAAAAATGAGGTAAACTAACTATATGTTGTATGTCAGGGACTACGGATGGAAATTAGCTCAAAGCTAAAATCCGGCATATTTACACTTGAAGCATTATTTGTCTAAAGTGTTCATTAATGTGCATTGTCCCTATTCAAATAAACAATTAAATGAAAATTAACAAATTGTGAACAAAACTAACATTGCTTTTTATTTAAATGAAATACATAATATTTCACATCAACAGAAACAACAACGTTTTAACAAATCATATTAAATAATCTGATGACAGAACTGTGAACAGAATGGCTGAAACTTTAACAAACTAAATAACTCAGTTCCC